ATTGAACTTTTAGAATAAAAAGTATAAATCGCAACAAAAGCAAAAGAAAATGATCAAAAGAGTACGATTTCGACTCATATCATATGAAATCATACGACACGATCATCGACAATTTTTACCATTTTTACCGAACGATTTTGTACGAATCATACTATACGTTTTCATCGAAATACCTGACCGACATATAATCAGATCCGCACCAAAATCGTAGTATAAGAAATTATATGATCCTACCGTACGAATCATATCACTTCTTACGTCTCGTATGATCTTGCACAATCGTGTCGATCCTAGTACGATTCTTTGACCTGGATATTGGCCCTCTCTCAAATTGAATGCTGTTTCATGAACAGTGTTTTAGAGAGCTCAGAGACGCCTTGATTTGCTCAAGAATATTTTCTGTACACGATGAGACTGTTACAAGAAAATTATCGCTCGGATTTGAAGATTTAGTTGTCTAGGGTTATGATTTTCTAGAAACCTCGATCCTAGAAACGTGAATGAAATGTTTTATTTGTTGTGAACCAGATTGGAAACCCCTTTGAGCCGTGCCAATCTTTCTGCAGATTTGGTATAGCTATTATCTTTGAGGAGAAAACTGAAAATACACGTGGTTGAATAGTTTGGAGAACCATCACAAATAAAAGTCGGGACAGTCATATACTATTCAAAATATAATTGCTTAACGGTATACTTGGTTTAAACTATATTTATTTAAAGATAAAGAAATCCTAATAACCCTCCAACTAAAGCGGCAAATTGCCACTACATAGCTCAAGGAGTTATTTAACAAGGTGTTATTCTTTTCCATAAGAAAAACAACAAAAACGGTATACTTTTTATAAAATCTAATGTATTTCATTTTGAAGCTCGTCAAATTCTGCGTTTTTTTATATCAACTATTCTGGGCCTGATTTTGTTTACACCACCATACTTCACTAACTCTTATACAACAGGTCAACATCACTGCATCCATTCACTATCTTGCCGTAAGTCTAACAAACTTACAGTTCGAAAGAATATGTTATAGCTCATTGGATAGCCCTTTCAATTCTACATTTTTCTATGTGTAAACCATTCCGACTCTGATTGTTCTGACAAAACTATATATATTATATTCAATGGGAGCTCAAAAGTATATAGAATCATTTTCTTGCAGAAACCGTCCACCGTCGTTTGCCTTTGCTTAAAATTGCAGATCGTTCTTTTTTGACGAACTTAAGCATTATTCCCTCGGAATACAAGCGAATATAAATTCCTTATAATATTCTGAAATTGAAATTGCCAAACAAACACAAATGAATTTTATATGAATACGCACTCGAACATATGAGCTTAGATTTGCAATAAATTGTAAAACTAAATTCACTGTCACTCTGAAGTTGTGGGATTTATTTGATATCACCAGTGTCAGCTATTTTTTGATTTGATGTTTTGTGTTTGTTTCGACAAGAAAATCAAACCTCTTTTACATTACCTAGATCAATGCAATAGTTTTCAATAAAAACAATTTTTAAATATTTGTTAATAGTATTATCATTGTTAATTACTTCGCCAATATTATATATTAAACTAAGTACTTGGTTTCCAAATAAATCATTAGGTAGTACCTATTATTACACATTGTATTAGACAACAAAAACTAAGAAGTTAAAAATTACATATCTCATCTCTTTGTTCTCAGGATAGTAATAAAAGTATATTTGCACTGAAAGAATACTGACTGTATTATCAATACTGTGTGTGTTACACTCACTGTGTTTTTGAAAGTTTTTGTTTACTGCTAAAAGAACAGTTTTATATCTTTGAAGGAAATCGAGGAGTGAAAAAGGTTTTTAAGTTAACTTTTCAATGTTGTAGTTGATATTATCTACAATGATTGGGACATTTGAAATATACGACTCAGCAGAGAAATGCAAGCGTTGAAAATGGTATAGTACTAAACTTCTGATTTTAAACTTGAGTTTGCTGAAAACATGTATGACTCGAGCCGCAAAGTATTTTTGAAGACCACAGGAAAAAGCAGAACACTCTCTACCAGATCGTGTAGTTGATCATCTGGAATTATTTAGAAACAGGAGTGACTGATCTCAGTTACTTGTGACAGTGGGCCACTTAAGAGTGGTTCCAAGAGCGCATCAGAAAAGCACATAATATGATCCAAATTTATTTTCTGATTCAACTAGGTATGCACCAGTTAGCAATTGGTGTTGCGGCATCCGGGAGAATTGCTATACATCAGTTATCACCATTCGCTCAGAGCTCAGAGAGAAACATCTCATTTTGTAGAAAAATATTCGTTCTACAAAATGCATTTGTTAAGAGATTTCGAAATTCTCTTAACAAATGCATTTTGTAGAACAAATATTTTTCACGGGATATCTAATCGTGTATAACTGGAAACTTGCGTCCCTTTCTGGCAAGATTTTTCGGTCAATGACTTTCCGACGTTCAATATCGTCTTGTATACTATATATAAAATGAGTCTAAATGCTTTTCCTTTGTAACATAAGCTGAATCTAAAGGATGCATTTTGTTTAGAATTCAACACTCTATAAAACTACAAGTGACTTGGTCGGTAAATGTGTGTTTTCGAGAGACAGGCTCCGTCAAGATCCTCCTTAGGGTTTCGTGTCCCCAAAAAGCTTTTTTGTGTTTTGACCATATGTATAATACTTTGTCCAACTCAGTTTTGTTCATAGATTACGAATATGACGCTAAAACTGATTGATAAGTACGTCTGGATCCTGTGACTTTTCTGGAACCACGATTTAGACGCCGATCGTACCATTTTATATGTATCAATTTACACGATTATTCTAGATCATACCAGTTCGTGTATGATAATACAGTACAATCGTATCTGATTATATTCGATCTGATACGATCTGCTCGTACGATTCTTCGACCTGGGTAACTCTGTCAAGACATAAGCTTTAAGATGATCTATAACACACCTTTTCAAACTAGTGTACTTGCGCATGTTTTCATATATAAGACTCTATTAAGAACATCGAACTCGTAGTGAACAATGAATAAATACGATCGATAAGACGTTTTGGACCGATGCTCAGAAATGATAAAAAATTCCAGCATATACTAGCCTACAATCAGCTTTTAAGACGCAGACATATTAAAAACTAAATAAGAAACGATTTCTGATCGGTTCCAGTCGTTATCTTCTCAAAAATATATAGGACGATTTTGTTGCAGAAACCGTGCCCTGTTCTTTCAAGAGAACGATTCATTCGATAGTTTAATATTTTGCTTACGTTATGCATCCACTCTTTATTCAAACGGTTTTCTACAAGCCTTCTTCAGTGGAACACAGATAAACAAACAAGAGATTATAGAGACAAGATTGCTTTCTTCCAGAATTATTTTTTTGCAACTACTATTAAAGAGTCGACTGAGCTACTTTCGCAAAGACCTCGCTTTCAAAATAAATTGAAACCTTATAAATTCCGCATGGAAATTAAAAACCACTGGTTACCTCCTACAAATAAATTACCCTGTCTATTGAATCGGAGAATTGACGCGCAAACTATCATCTAAAGCAGTATAAACTTGTTTCCAAAAGTCTTTCTAAAAACTGCTTAGTTTTATCATCCTCCGTTGAAGTATGTTGAGGACACAAAACATTTTTTGCCCTCATTATAATCAACCACGAAATATATTATTCTCAAAATTTGATAATGCAGGCATCACACTAGACTTGGATACTTTTCTCTTGAAAGGTACTGCGAATAAACGGACATTTCTCTTTGTTTATGGCTGCATATGTGATTTTATCTCGGATACTAAACGTTTCTAAGTGCCTGCTTGAGTTGCTGTATTTGATACCGAAGCTGATGCATTTCTATCTCATATCTGTACTCTTGCTCATAGGGTCATTTGATCACCACGACTACTCTATTCTTCAATATCTTGTATAATATTTCTTTTCTTTAATCATATTCCTCTGTAATCGATGATCAATCTTGTTATTTCTCTCTCCATTTCTCTTTTTATTATTTTGTATGTCTGTTATTACCTTTCCTACTCATCCGTTTTTTAGAAGTTTTTGGAAAAGTGTAAAATAGTTAAATGGATTTTGTAAATATTTTAATGAAATTTTATTATTTTTCCAGAATTATTTTTAGCATGTAGAGGAGACTCCATGGAATGGATTCTGTCAACATTTTTGTGAACAGTCTACTGCTTTGGAGGCTACATCAATCAGACTTGTATTGGTCGACATTTCTAAAGTTAAGAAAAAGTCTTTGGTTTCGTAACTCGATCACGAAGGTTTTCTGGATGATTTTTCTCTAAAATGGAACGTTTCTAACCTAATTACTACATTTCTAAGGAGATATTGATTGATGCACAATTTAATTCTCTACATTTTTGTTCTCAGCAAAAAATGCTTCTCCGTTGAGAAGAACACTAATTAGGTTCTTTTCCATTTACTAGTGTGCTAATTAATATTATTGCAATGAAAAGAAATCGACGATATCGTCACTTTTCTTTGAGCAATTGCTGACAGGTGGTTTATTTCTCAAATTTCATAAATCAGGGACCAAATCTAGAATTTTTTCTAAATCGGCCATTCTGTAGAGGACAAAACTGTTTATATTCCGTAACTTTCAGTTTTTCAATAAAACAAATACTTTACCCATATTGTTATACCATACGAGAAGATTCATGTGATTCGATCGAACAATAGTCGATCGATTCATTTCTAGACAACGGAAAGCAGTTTGGTGATCACCCAGTCGAATATTGATTACTGCCATTTGATTATGAGTATTAGTTGTAGTTGATAGATGAGCTGCTTTGGCAATAATCTAAAGCAGTCTTTTAATTAACATTGGGGACATTGATCTCATCCATCGTAACTACTTCATCATCACCTTTCAACATATAAATACTTGCAAGAATAAGCAATAGGTCAGCCAGTGCCGAATTACCTTGGGTAATAAGAGATTTTTCGCTCGCTTCAAGTATTTTTATAATATATATCAATACTTCATTGCATTTTCAAGTGTATAATAATGAAGTGCTAGTTTATAATCAGATTTTCTTTCATATATTCTACCCAATAGACCGTATGTATTAGACATCAGACGATGTAGTTCTGGTAAATGTTGTCTAATATCGAGTACGTTTTGAAGATTGTTTAATGCCAGATCATAACTACCTGTCAAGCAATTTACCATTGATATATTGTTATAGACTGTAGCGATGAGCGAATGACTTGATGGAAGTACTTGCGAATAAGCATCAAGTGCCCTGTCGTAATACACAAGAGCCTCTGTCCAATCATTTCTGTAGCTATATGTCAAACCGATATTGTTATATATTACGCCCAATGGAACAAAATCAAAATCACGGTTATTATCATTGTTGTATAAAATATTTAAGACAATATTGAAATTATCCAATGCATCATCGAGTTGCTGTCTTTTCATATATGATACACCAATAATGCCGTACAATCGTTTTATTAGATCCGTGTCATTATTCAATTGACATTCATTAATAACCAATTTACAATAATGTTCTGCTCTATGATAATCAGTCATATTTAAAAATAGATTTTCCAAATCCACTTCAGTCGGTCGATCGTCCATTTCCATTTTTAAATATTCTATTAATATTTTCACTTGTTGATCTTAACCATAATTCAGTCTTAAACATAATTTCCATATATCTTCATCATCTTGTTTTTCTACTGATTCCTCAATAATGACAATTCATATGACAAGAAAACCGATTTGTTTATTTTGTGCGAGCAACAGACAAAAAAATAAGAGTGAAATATTTTTGGTTGTGCCAAAAGTGAGAGCGAAATTTTTGAAAAATGTTTTTTGAACATGAAGATTTTATGCAAAGATCGAGTAGAATTTTAGGCAGGAGGAGAGAGGAAAATCTTCGGTTTTTCTGCAAAAGTATTGTAGAAAAAGAAGAATGAAAAAAGAAACACCCGAGCAGGAGCTTGAACTTTAGGCTCAGGGGTTAAATGTCTCACGCACTAACAACTGAGCTGTTCTGGTATCACTTTAAGTATTTAATATAAATTGCAAATGTAAAACGTTCATAGCTCTGACAAGCATAGCATTTGTGTATAAACATAATAGTCAATTAATTATAATAGTCAATTAAACACTGTTTCGTAAATTGATCTACCCGGAACACTGTCTCTACATAAATTGTAATATGACTATGGCCAATAGTGATTGCAAAAGACATTGTGACAAAATCCCTTTATTTCGAAATTCAAGAAGTATATTTTCCGATATAACAAAGCCTATATATAAAGTAAGATGCAGCTAATACAAAATTCAAGTGGGTTTTATTTCTCGATTCATCATACATATTCTGATTTGTTTTGTTGAGCTGATCACGAATATCATCTTTAAAACCTTTAAAAGTTCTTTTCTCATGGAGAAAAACCTGAAATACTGCGAGGGTCTAAAAAAATCGAAAAAATGACGTTTATCCTAGAATTGATTTTTTTGAAGTTTTATTACAAGATGGAAGGTCAAAATTATTTTTTTCTGAATCAGCGTTGAAAACTGATTTAGAAAAAAGTCTTCAGTTCATTTTAAAGGTAAACACTCGTCCGCCATGGGATCAAAACTGGCGGGTGTCAAATGGAGCAGCATTCATTTTGTAAGCTTATCTAGTTTTTTCAATGGAAGGCTATACCTTTAATTCATACAGCATTAAATCGGCCAAGAGACCAGCTTCAAAAGTACGGAGAGCTTTTTTTTAAAATTCCTTTTCCTTGCTGAGAAAACCGGCTTTTACTGAAAATCAAAGAGAAACAGCGAAGTGATCTTTGGAAAACCAGGCCGTGTGTAAAAATTTTCAATAGGATTGTATTGATTTTCTTCCATGCTACGATAGCCCAAGGTATCCTCTTCAAAATGAGAGTCAAACGAGGCCTTGATTTTCCGCGGCTCGGGTGCTGTGTCGAGTTTTCTGCGAGTCCCAGGGCTGGCATCCGGTGACTATTGGTAGCCTTGAAAACGGATGGTCTATAGGTAATCGATCATGCTGAGTCTTGTGGTAATATTTGTTTTTAGAACAAGTTTTAAAAATCTAATTTGGGTTTTTAGGCTGTTTTTACCTTCTATTAAAAAATTCACTATTCACTCAATAAACATCAGAACGAGTTCAAAACTTCAGAATGTAGAGTATTTAAGCTATTCTATATCCTATTTATCGAAGATCTCA